GACCCCCCCCTCCCCCGGTCCCTGCCAGGCCGCCCAGCCTGGCCTGCAGCGCCCCGCTCCGCGGTCACTGCCCCGAGCGCCGGGCTAATCCCGCGTGGGGAGCGCCTCGGAGCCCTCTGCCCCTTTGCTTTATTCAAGTGGCCCCTGTTCATTGGCTGGGGGGGACACGGGCAACTCCGCCCCTCGCGCTTTGGGACTGGCGCTCTCCCGGGAACAAGTCCTGTTAGTCTGTAACTTAAAAAACCAGCGTCTTGAGCCACCAGCCTAGACAACATCTACAGAGAATCACCAGCTTTCCTGGCCAAAACCCAGGCACTCGAGATCATCTCATCTGAGGAAGTGGGTTTTGCCCAGAAAAGCTCATGATACTGTATGTATTTTTATAACCTTAAAAAACAACACGTACTCTGGTAGCACTTTAAAGACTAACAAAACATGGAGCTGGATGATACCATCTCCATCTTTTGTTAGTCTTTAAAGTGCTACCAAACTATTTGTTTTTTTTTAAGGTTATCCTGTTCGGACTAACTCGGCTACCCCTCTGAAGCTGTATGTATTTTTGTTAGTCTCTAATGGTACGTTTAGACAGTGGCGCTTTTTCGAGATACCGGAAGTATCCCAAAATAGCAATTTCATGTCTTTAAAGGTGCCCATTATTTTGAAATAACGAATGCGCTATTCCAGAATCCCTGTAACCTTTGTGGAACAAGGGTTAAGGGACTACATTTTGAAATAAACTATTTTAAAATAACCTTGAAATAAGATACACAATTTGTGTAGCGCAAATGTCATAGATTATTTTGAGATGAGGGTGCTGTTTAGGTGATTTGTCATAAATGTACTTCCTAAGTTTAGTTGGTCAAGTTCAACTACTAACATGCTGATGAGAAGTGCTGAGGGTCTTCAGTAAACCAGCCTAGTAACATACCAAATAGAGCTTGACTCTGGTGGTCCTCTTGAGAGGAAGGCAGTGGCCTTTGCAGCTTTCTATTCCACAACATGAGGCTCGGGCTAGTTGCCATAACTGCGGAAGGAGCTGATGTGGGCAAGACCTTTGTTCCCTTCAGCCCCCTTCCTTCCAACAGAAATATTCTGCTTCATCACATATTTCAGTTGCACTGTCATTAAAATCAGCATCCCATGTTGTAATAAGCTTGGTAGCAATGTGGTTTCTCTCCCTAAACCAAGAATATAAAAGAAATAACATCAGTGTGATTCTGACTCCATTGCTACAAGTTTTCTGGACTTCTAAAGATGGCATAGAGGAGGGGCAGCAGCAGGGACATACTGAGTGGTCTTTTTAACTTATGTTTATATTTTACATTAAAGACTAGGTTAAAAAAACTAACAGAACGTATATAAAACATTGACACAATGGAAATAGGATAGAAAAACAAAATTCAACAAAATAGATAAATAAGTGACAACATTCTAGGAGTATTGCGGACTAATATGTACTAAATTTCAAAAGTATGTTATAGTTTAATATGTGATCAAATGTCCTTATCGTTTTTCCAAGCATTTCTATTAATGGGAAAAAATGATAGATTAATTGAAATGCCTTGATACAATGCAGAAGCTTGGAGAAGGGAAAATAGTGATAGGGATGTAAAATAGTAGTTGATTAGTGGACTACCTGATAAGCCTAGGCTTATCGGGTAGTCGAGTTGACTACTCGCTCCCTTGCTGCCTCTAATATAGAGTCAGTAAACAGGGGAGGGGAAGCAGTGCTGGGGGAAGCCGGCTTAAAAGCTGGTTCCCCCTAGCACAGTCTTCGTGGTGCAGGGGAGACAGAGATGCAGTAGTCAGGGACCTGGTGTGAGCCAGAACTGTTGAGTCCCAGCTCTCGTCGGGTCCACCACTGCAGCTCTGTCTTTTAAATGTAGTAAGAGCTGCCTGGCCCTTGCTACATTTAAAAGGCAGAGCTGTAGCAGGGTAAGATCGAGACCCGGCATGAGCCAGGACTCAGCAGTCCCAGCTTGTGTTGGATATGGGACCTACACCATCTGCGGCTCTGCAGTTTAAATACAGTAGGAGCTGGGCTGCCTGCATGCCTGGCTCCTACGATATTTAAAACTGCAGTTGCAACTGTGCCCCTTATTGACTAATCGTGTACTCGATACAAATTGTATCGAGTACATGATTAGTCAGTTACCTACTACTTAACATCCTTAAGCACTGATTATGGTGTTCCAGAACATATGCATTTTTGACAGGTATAGAGGATGTGTGAAGGGCTGATGTGTGGCTGTTTGGCAACTCACCACATCTGTTGGAAATGCAATGTAGCCTTAAATAAATGTTCTGGTGTCCATAGTACTTGTTCAATATCTTGTTCTGGAATAATCACGAGAATGAAGAACTTGAAGTATCTTTCACATTAAGCCTCATATCCTCCCAGGTTCCTCTTGTGTTAAGCTCTTTTCCTGTTTTTCTTTGAGACTACATTCTCTACAATTTCCCTGCATTTTGTGTATCGTTTTTATGTACATTCTGTTTTTTGGTATAGCTGTCCTGTGAATTTTCACTACGATTACATACTCAACTGACATATCTCAAAGGGAAAAATGCTTGACACACAAAACTTTGATCTGGAGTGAATCTCTTTCAGAGGATCTTAGCCTTTTGACCTGAAGTTAATCAAAAGGTCTTCCATTATGTCCCCTTAACCTTTGTGGATAAATTGCAAATATAAATTAAGTGAAATATTCAGCTCAGGTACTGATTTATATTTGCCTGTGTTGTATCAAGTGTAGAAATATATTACATTTTATATGTTAGGGTTAGTGGAAGTTCTTGTGAAAATATCCCTGTGTGTTAAATGTAAAGAATGAGGAAAATGGATATTAAATTGGAAAAAGGATTACTTCTTAATTAAGAGGAACTGCAGTACTCGACATTTTCTTTGCTGCTATTCTGCTTTTCTCTTTCCTTGCTGCTAATTGGATTTAAGGCCGTATTGGTTACTATGGCATCCCGTGAAGAGATTACTCTCTATGAAGATGAAGTAAGGTAAAAAGGAACAATGCCAGAACATTCAATTCAGTATAAACTGGTCTGGAAATGTCTGCAATCTGAAATTTAATGGTCATTTCTGATAAGATCTATAGATGTGCATATTATTTTCTTGACATGAATACATAATACATGCATGCACCATTTACATGCATGTAGACACACATTAGATATTACCTAAGCCACTTGTTTTCAACACTTTTTCAGATGCAGACCCCTAAAAATGTCAAATGGAAGCACAGAACCATTTGGAAATCTTAGACATAGTCTGCAGCCCTCTAGGGGTTTGCAGACAAAAGTTAGAAAATCATTGAACTAACTGCAGTTTCTTTAATTTACTCAATTATATGATATTTATTTAACTGTTAAGATTGAATTTAATAGACTAGAAAAGATTTACAGTATAATCATATATATAGTAGCCCATTGTCTGTGAGTCTGTAACGCAAAATGCTGGGTGTTCCCTCTGGGGGGGCGCTGTTGCCTGAAATGCTGGCTGTTCCCTCTGGGCGGCACTGTTACTGAAATACTGGCTGTTCCCTCTGAGCGGCCCATGCTGCATGGGGAGTGCGGGGCCCAAACAGCTGCTTGCGCCGCTTGCTCCCCCGTGGCGGCCTGGCTGAGCAGAGCAGAAGTCAGCCGAGTGCCATGGTGGGAGGCGAAGGGGGGGCAGGGTGGTGACGTGTGGCATCAGGCCCCATCCCCTGGCCGTGTACGTCACCGCCCCGCCCCCCTTCGCCTCCCGCCATGGCGCTCGGCTGACTTCTGCGCTGCTCAGCCGGGCCATTGTGTGGGAGCAAGCGGCACAACCGACCATTTGGGATCCGCGCCCCTCCCATGCAGCATGGGGAGTACGGAGCCCAAATGGCCATTTGGGCTCCGCGATCCCCCGAGAGGCAGGAAGGGGAGGAGAAGTGAAAGAGAGAGGCCCCCCTTCGCCTCCCGCCATGGCGCTCGGCTGACTTCTGCGCTGCTCAGCCGGGCCATTGTGTGGGAGCAAGCGGCACAACCGACCATTTGGGATCCGCGCCCCTCCCATGCAGCATGGGGAGTACGGAGCCCAAATGGCCATTTGGGCTCCGCGATCCCCCGAGAGGCAGGAAGGGGAGGAGAAGTGAAAGAGAGAGACACAGAGTGAAGCAGGAGGCGGAGGAGAGCTGACAGAGAGAGGGGGAAGGCAGTAGGGGGGGGGAGAGAGAGAGAGAGAGAGCGACCAGAGGCTCAGGAGAGAAGACCGACATGGAGGAGAGACCTGAAAATCCCTCTTATGACAGGCTAATTGGCTAGTATATCAAATGGTTATATAAATTCTCCAAACTTTAAAAATCTAAAATGATTTGTAATGTGGGTCACTCAGTTTCACTCAATTTACTATATGTTAGAAGATGCCAACAAACAAGATAATTTACTGATGAGTATGAGGAATTAGGTGTTTTGTAACTAGCATTCCTCTGTAGTTAGAAGTTTTTGCATTTACATTAATGTAAATGTATATGCATATAGTATTTGTCAAAGTAAAACAATATATTTGCCTATATGTTCATATCTGTTCTAATTTTTGTGGTCAACATAATTTCCTTGTGCACCTCTTAATTTGTTTCATTTTAAACTTTTTTGCTATATTTGATTGTGTATGAATAAATAAATGCTAAACCAATCTCTCATACAGTTCTTGATCAGGAATTTTATTTTTAATTATTAACACTTTGAAGAATATAATACATTAATAGAAGAATTATAAATCTCTTCAAATTACTATTCCCTCAGGTCTCAGTACGGTCACCTGGAGAAGATGACAGATCTGGTGGCTGTTTGGGAGGTTGCTTTAAGTGATGGTGTTCACAAAATTGAATTTGAGCATGGAACCACATCAGGAAAACGTGTTGTATATGTAGATGGAAAGGTAAAATGAACAAGTTCAAAACACTCAGTACTTATGTAAATGTATCTCTGTGTGGAAAGTACTATGATTAGTTTAATGCAATAATAAGTAGAACACATGGTTTTTACACTTGTAACAAGGTTAACTGACTAATACTTACAATAATGTATTTCAGGCTGCACTATTGTACTCTGGGTTTGCAATCCTCTTCTCACAGATATTATCCCTTTGGGGCAGCATGGCTGAAAGCTTGCTGCCTTACTGGGAAATAGTAGTTCTGCTTGCATTACACATGAGAATTGTTGGCATGGCTTCTGGCATCTAGTGTCCAATACTAACATTAGACTCTACCAATACCTGAGGTTGTTCTCTGGTAGTACTTCTACTGTCTTTTACTGATGTTTTCACAAAATAGGAAGGGCACAGCACTATTCACTTTGCTGTCCTTTTGTCTCTCTCTAAACTTGTTTGTCTTGTAGCAGTGGTAGTTAATAGGCAAACTGCAGGCCAGATGCTTTTGAACAGACCATGAAATCCTTTTACTTACTTATCTTTATTATTTTCTCTGTAGTCTAGACTTTGACTGTACCTTGAGCAAGAAATTAATCTATCACCCCATCTTATGAGTTTGTAGAAATACAGGGATTGATGTCTGACACTTGCCATGCACTCTAGGGATGTCAATGTGTAGTCAACTATATGACTAAACAATAAGCCTGGGCTTATCAGTTCATTCTGTCGACTAACGCACTCCCCCCTTGCTGCCTCCCACAGAGGCATGAGAATTGAACTTATAATGTAGAATTGTGTAAAAAAAAAACAAAAAACAAAAAAAAAAAAACCTGCATTCAAAAACAAAACAGTGTAAAACTTTAGAGTCTATTAAGTCCACTCAGCCCTATTTCTTGTTCAACTAATTGCTCAAATTTGTTTACATTTATGGAAGATAATGCTGTCTGTTTCATGTGTAGAATGCTGGAGCTCCCTGGCTGCTGCCAGCCCCGCTACCATGGGGCTCAAGCTCCTTGGCTGCCAGAGCTCTCATCACCGTGCCCTCCGCTACCCTTACCCTAGGCTCCTGGCTGAATCGCCGGCCCCCCTGCTACACTGCCATCCTGCCACCAGACCTCTCTTTTCTTGGACTCTGTGGTTTAGGAACATCTGTAGTTCTATCAGACCATAGACTCTCAGTTTAGGGAGGTACCAAACTGTACCTTGCAGTGCCAGCTACAACAGTGCCATGCAAACACCTGTTCTAACTTTCAGGTGAAACAAAATACAGGACTACAGTATATAGCACTTTAAAGACTAGCAAGATGGTTTATTAGGTGATGAGCTTTCATGGGCTCTGAGGAAGTGGGTCTGACCTACGAAAGCTCATCACCTAATAAACCATCTTGCTAGTCTTTAAAGTGCTATATACTGTAGTCCTGTATTTTGTTTCACCTGAAAGTTAGAACAGGTGTTTGCATGGCACTGTTGTAGCTGGCACTGCAAGGTACAGGCTTGTTTGTCTGAGATAGCCCTACCTCCTGTTCAGCCATTAAGTAGATTGTAGGCTCTAACATTTTACATTGCTTTCGTTTTGTGTGCAGTATGCAACAGAAAAAACCTTACATTTGTAAGATACACTTTCACTACAGTACTTATAATGAGGTGAATTGAAAATATTATTTCTTTAGTTTCTCTCTTTTACCATGCAAATATTTGCAATAAAAAATAATTTAAAGTGAGTACTGAACATGTTGTATTCTGAGTTGTATTTGTAATCAATATATTGGAAAATGTAGGAAAAAACATTTTTTAAATAAATATCAATTGGTATTCTATTGTTTAACAGTTGATTGATTGCAATTAATTGTAGTTTTAATTTTTTTTAGTTATTTTAGGGCAATGGATTACTAACTATATTTGACTGTTTATTAACACTCAGTTCCTCCTTTTTTTTTTCAGGAAGAAATAAGAAAAGAGTGGATGTTCAAACTAGTGGGTAAAGAAACATTTACAGTTGGTGCAGCCAAAACAAAGGCTACTATTAACATTGATGCAGTGAGTGGTTTTGCCTATGAGTATACCTTGGAGATCAATGGGAAAAGCCTCAAGAAGTACATGGAGAATCGGTCAAAAACTACAAATACTTGGGTATTAAGCTTGGATGGTGTGGATTGTAGGGTTGTGTTAGGTAAGTTAATATTGAGTCCGTTTTCTCATCACTGCTTTTTATATAATCTTATATGCCTTTTTAAGGACTTAGGAAGTCTGGGTTCAAGTCTCTGCTTCACCACAAACTTCCTATGTGACCTCAGTCAAGTCACTTTTTCAAAAGTATTTATAACCTACAGATGTAGATGCAAAGAAATCTCAGTGCCTACTCTCAGTGGTAATAACTCTTAACTGATGGTCGGTAACAATGTTACCCTAAGTTTGTCTTGTTTAATGTGTTAATTTAAACAGCTAGTGTGTTTCTAAAATGGCTTTTTTATATGTTTTAGTTCTTCCTATGGTTGAATTGTCTTAACTTTTTAATTAACATGGGAAATCTTTTGGATCAAGGATATGTATTTATATTTGAATTTGACCTTGATATTTACGTATATATAAATAACTCTCCTCCCACATTTTAATACCAGAAAGCTCTCATTAGGGATTTGATCCTTGTTCTCATTGAAGTCAGTGGCATAGCTATCAGTTGGTTAATGATGCAGGATCAGGACTAGAAGAGGACAGGTCTGGAGACATGTTTTCTTCTACAGGTTCAGGATGGAATGACTAATAATACCAAAAGTGGTACTAAGATTAAGTAGGATGAAAAGGGAATCCATAAATATGAGCAAAATTCTGCAAGTTTTATTGACATACCTAATTCCTTTTGATTTAAATGGCATGAGAAAGGCAAGCAGGATTTGGTCCTAGGACACTAACCACTCCCAAACAAAGGAAGTTTCAGAAATATGAAATCTAGAGTGAACATATTCTAGGACGTTATGTTGGGTAATGCAATCAAAACAGTGCTTTAGAAGAAACAAATTATTAATAATTACTTAATTGCAACCTGTTTTCTTCTGATGAAGATGATGCATGAGATTTCTCAGAGATGTAAGAACATGAAAAGTTTGAAGGATAATTAATAAGATGTGTTAGAGGGACACTCTCCCACAGGGCTCGCCGAGCCACGGCGATTCCCACTCGCCAGCCGTGCTATCCAGCGTTCTGTGCATGCGCGGATTGTTCTGTGCATGCGCGGATCACCCAAACCTGGCTCTTCCAGGATGTAATCTACTCGCCACAGGTGAGTAGATTACATAGATTGTCGAGCCCTGCTCTCCCAGAAAAATTAGGCAAAAGAGTCAGAATTTCAAATAACGTTAACTTATTTATTATTCAGTAATTCAAAAATAATTTTTCTCAAACTTTGCAGAAACATTTTTAGTTTCAGAAAATCCTGGCATTGACTAAACCATTTTTGAGGCAAAAGTGGAGTTCTCTAATAGAAGCTGGTTGCAAGCTTATAAGAGAGTCTCTCATTGTGAAACCAGTCTTTGTAATTTAGAATATTACTGTTTATCTAGAACACACATGGGAAGTTACAGCTAAAATTTCATGGTAAACATTTGGAATTTCTCTGTCGTCTTGGTCTATAACAAGGCATGCAAAATGGAACATTCACACATACAGAATGGGAAGTGACGGTCTAGGAAGAAGTACTGCAGAAAGGGATCCTACGGATCATAGTGGACCATAAGATAAATATGAGTCAACAGTAGGACACTGTTGCAAAAGCAAACATGATTCTAGGATGCACTAACAGGAATGCTATGAGCAAGACACAAGAAATCATTCTTCTGCTCTACTCTGCACTGATTAGGCCTCAGTTGGAGTATTGTGTCTAGGGTTGAGCACCACATTTCAGGAGAAATTGGAGAATGTCCAGAGAAGAGCAACAAGAATGATTAAAGATCTAGAAAACATGAGCTTTGAGGGAAAACTGAAATAACTAGGCTTGTTTAGTTTGGAAAAGACTGAGAAGGGGACATGATAGTGGTTTTCAAGTATCTAAAAGGGTGTTATAAGGAGGAGGGAGACAAATTGTTCTCCTTGGTCTCTGATGATAGGACAAGAAACAATGGGCTTAAACTGCAGCAAGGGAGGTTTAAGTTGGACATTAGGAAAAAATTCCTCAAACTAAGGGTGGTTAAACACTGAAATAAATTGCTTAGGGAGGTTGTGAAATCTCCATCGCTGGAGATATTTAATAACAGGTTAGACAGACCCCTATCAGGAAAGGTCTGATGGTGTTTGGTCCTGCTGTGAGGGCAGGAGACTGGACTTGATGATCTCTCTAGGTCCCTTCCAATTCTAGTATTCTATGCAACTTTTGTTCTGTTTTCTCATTTTTTCAGAGAAGGATACTATGGATGTCTGGTGCAACGGTAAAAAAATGGAAACAGCGGTATGTGATCATTTACAAAGGCTTTTAAGAGACTTATTCTGATTTTACAACTGAAGTAGAACATACCCCAGTTAGAACAGTAACACTATGTATCAGTGAAATAATTCAGATACTGTGGAGAATAGCTGTGGGGCTTTTAAGTAAAGTGTTTTGTGGAGGAGGAATGGGGAACAGACTGAATTGCTCTGTGGATTAGAGAGCCAGCCAATTCAAATTTACCTTTGTCCACAGTGACTGAGCAGTAAACATTTAAAGCCTGATGTTCAGAGTGGCATAAAGGTCACATTACCTTTTCATGCTTCCAGGTGGTCCCTCCAATTTAATGTTTAGGCATCTTGACAGATGCAGGGTGTAGAGAAGTTTGCCTTGTGGTACCTATTCCTGTAGATAAAAATGAATCCTCAATCTGTCAGTTTGGAAATTTTACTGTTACTGAAAATTAGTCTGTGGACTTATGCAGAGGACTGCAAAACCTATTTCCTCAACAGACATTTGATCCTGCATCTGATACTGTAAGACACTGATGACTGTATTAAATTAGAAAGGGTAAGGAAATCTGGTCTTAACTTTGCTATATTTTGAAACTATTTTTCACCATGTTCCCAAGAATTCCTCTTCCACAAGCTGCTAACAGTACAACCTTCTGCCTCCCTTGGAGCACAAACTCTCCAACCATTCTCAATCTTTTCCAACTCTATTTCCCCATTATAACAGAAAAAGGTTTCGAATTTCCCTCTCGTGACTAGCCACAAAGGAACGTGAGAGAGTACTTGAATCCCCCTGAAACCAGTTTGCAACCACTAGACTGAGAACCCATGAACTTATACCTAGTGCATGGGTTCTTAACATATTAACTCCGACAGGTAGTGAGCCTGCATGATTGCCTACCAAACTGTGCTTACATGTTAGGACAGCATTCTGGTCTTTCATTGTATGAAAAGATAGACTTAAAACTCAGTTTGGCCAAGATGGCATAGTCCAAAACACAGCTGGAATTCTCTAAGTATCTGCAGTGCAAATATACTCCAGAATTATCATTGGTAGTTCAGGGCACACATGAAGCCTTTTGCCCAACTTAGTTTTGCTTAAACCATATAGACCCCATAAGTCTTGTGTTAAAAATCTTATTCTAGTCTTATGAATTAATTTATGGCCAAATTCAGCTACAGACTATGCTGGAAACCAGTGCAAGTTAATTGACTTCAAGTAGAATTACACCAGAACCTAATTTGTCCTGTTTTAATTAACTTATCAGTGACATTGGTAGCTGAAATTTTTCAAATGTCACCACCTACAAAATATTTTACAAAACTTTTGTCTGACCAGGAAACAACTTGATTTTAACCTATATGAATACATAAATAAATCATAACTGCTCAACAATCAAATACTATGACTAAATAATCTATTTTCGGGAATTTTCAGTTTTACATTTTCCATCTTGTCCCATATTTTTAGCTACCAAATGCTTATTGGGTTTTTTCTTATTACTGGAGCTACAAGTACATAATATCTGACAATCAGATCTTAGCTGCTTTATGAACACTAGTATTTTGTTAGCTATATTCTTTTGATGATATTTTGTCTCCCCATCACAGGGTGAATTTGTAGAAGATGGAACAGAAACTCACTTCAGTGTTGGTAATCATGACTGTTGCATTAAGGCTGTCAGTAGTGGAAAGCGAAGGGAAGGAATAATTCATACTCTTATTGTAGATGACAGAGAAATCCCAGAGGTTTTAGAGTAGCCTAGAGTTAATCTGTTATAGAAATAAAGATCAGGGATTCTCAATTACTGTGGTAATTATTTATTTTAATATGTACTTCTAGGTACATTTAGGTTTCTTATTTCCTGGTTATTGTATATGAAATTATAATCTTTTTGAGGAACAGATGTAAATATCCAATTATGTACAGCCTCAGATATTGGCAGTTCTTTTGTAAACTATATAAATATATAACACTAAGAAGGGGAAGGTGGACTAAAGTAGGAATTGTTAACAAGGAAAGTTTTGTTACAGAAATAAAATGGAAAATAAATTAGTAGTGTAATATTTAATGTTGAGGGTTTTTTTTAACTTGATGTGATTTCTTTTCATGTTCTGCATAGATTTACTTTGCACAATTTTTACAATAGTACATCCACCTAAGCTGTTATTTTTTTATTGATAAAATGTTTATTGTAACATGCTAATGTCATTTTAAAATTCCTATGGTTGCAGTTAGGGAAATAAATAGCTATGTCAGTTAAAACAAAATGTATTGAAAATTTAGATATTCTATATTTACAGCAACTGTACTAATATATACAACTCTTATTAAGAGTGAAGGAGTGAGAAGTGTATTGAACACAAAGGGAACATGCATCTCACTAGTTTGTCTAAAATCTGTATATTAAAACTGTTGTAATGATTAAATACTTGGAATGGAAACACTGTTTACTTCTTAAAATTCACTGGGGTGCCAAGACACTTTCAAAATGGAACATTTTGATGAAAACCGACTAATGTGGTTGAACAAAACTTGGCTGAATAAAACTTAAACCTACATTGGTGTGTGAACAAGGTAATAAAAATCAATGGAAATGAAGGGGAGGGGGAAATCTGTTGGCCAAGTGGAGAGGCTAAATTAGGAGTGGAATGTTTGTGTTTTCAAGCTTATAGGATGGTATTAAACTCTTAATTTTATTAAAATATAAAGAAAATTTGAAAGTGTGCCTAGAGTACATTAAAGATGTGCTAACTCAAATTGCACTGAAGTCCTCTTATGAGACACAATAGCTATATAAAGCGATGATACCTTGTGCTGTAGGTTTCACTAATGCATTGCAATAGTTATGATTGGGATGTCTTTTGGTCCACGCCCTGTTATATTATATTAAACTGTAACAAAAATTAAAATCTTTTCTGGCTCTAGGTACGTACTTCTTTTCAAGCCAGAAGCTTATATTACATTGGATGATAATCCCTTTAACTTTTGCTGTACTTTTACAATATCACAAGATACTTTTTAAAATTTGGTAATTTTTGGTCAGCAGGTATATAAGCCAATTTTAAATTAAAACTTCCTAGTAGACACACATGTAATTCTTCATGGCCATAACTGATCAGGAAATAGACTGGGTCAAATTCTGTTCTTTATTTTATCAGCGCATTGAAGTTAATGGATTGCCCAGGTGTAACTATGAGCAGATTTTGGTGTGTGTAAATGTTGCAGACTGCAGTACTTTGATCTACAGAAAAACATGAATGTAAAGCAGTGCTTGGGAATTTTTTCCTTTGGACCCTCAGTTCAAGTCCCATTCCAGCAACTGGTTTCACCCCCTGTGCTTGTACTTCTAGCTACATTTAAATGACCTTTATTAATAAGACAATTGTAGACGTATCTGAGGATATAGCTAAGTTGATTTTTTTTAAATAATATTTCAGTTCACAGCTTTTTCTATACCACGACTGCAAATTACAATGAAAAAGTTTCAAACCGTGGGCACATCCCAACTAACCATAAAACAAGATCATAACTCCCCTGAAGCATGTATATTGCCTCCAATGATTGCTAGCTACAGGTTGTGAACTCATGCTTTATTTTTTTCATAAAATCTTTCATAGAAGGCCATGTTGAATATACTGTGATAGGCAAGTCTCAGCTATTGTCAAAGTCAGGAATCTTAGTGTCTGTTCAGAGGAAAAGAAAAATCAGAACAAATCAACAGATTGATTGATTTTTGGTCACGCAATTTTTTTATTTCTCAAACATGTTACTTGTTGACACATCATACAGCTAATAAACACGATTATAGTGACTAACACTGCAAATAAATTCACTTTTATAAGCATGTAAACATTTATAAAATAGCAATTCTAAAGATGAGAGCATTTATGCTCGAAGATTAGCTAAACAAGTGAAAGCAGAATTTAAAATAAATGAACAGCAAAATATGTGTTTTAATATAAAGGGATTACTTTGGATTAGATGGTGTTTGTTTGTGTGACTTTCTTTTAATTTATAAAATATCGTTTCAGATTTTTATCAAAGACTTCTGTGACTAAATATATATTTACTCATCTCAAGCAACTTAGTAAAATAAAATGCATAGGGTGCATACTGTGGCTATTTAGAGAAAAATAAAATTTCTGCATAGTTTGGAAACTATATATTTTAACCACTACAGGAACGGTCAACTAAACTCTGTCTAGTACCTCTTTCTGATACAAAACTATAGATAAGTTTTAACTTTTAGATTATCATAGTGGTTAAAGTCTTGTATATATCAACATGGATGTGTCAAGATTATCAAAGGTGAGGCATTCACCACCCGACTGCAGTATGGTCAGATATTCTTTGTTCTGGGGGAGCCTCTGTGCTCATGGTTCTGGGAAATACCCAAGTCCCATGGTTCTGATGATCTCTCATTTACTGAACCTCTGGTTGCCCCATAAGGCACTGATTGCTCAGCCCAAATCTGGGAACATGTCAATATATAGTGTGGAACAGCCTGATTACTGTTAAAAATGACAAAAGTTTCAGGGTTATGAACATTATCTACTACGCTGTCATATGCATTCATACCATCTCCAATTATTGGTGGCACAATGTAAGACTGTCTGCCCTCAGTGTATAAGCCTGTTACTACCTCAGCCTCAAACACACAAATAAGATGGTCCATTTCACACTTTTCCTTAGTATCCCGCATTAGGTTTCCAGGGCTCTTGACAAAGTAGATGCCAGCTCCGTATTTTTGTTCTGCAAAGAAAAAACAGAAAATGAAAAGGATAGACTCCAATGAATGAGTTTTATTAGGGTTTGCAGTATTGTAGGCATGTTGTTCCCAAGATATCCAAGACAAAGGGGGTGAGGACATATGTTCCACTGAACCAATTTCTGTCAGTGAAAGGGAAAGCTATCCAGTTGTACAGAGCTCTTCTTCAGCTTGCCCCTTTCACCCAGACCTCAAGAAGAACTTTCTGTTGTTTCAAAGCTGCTCTATTTTGGTTATCTCAAAACAGCGTTCTGCACTGTCTACACAAGAAGCCCATTATTTCAAAATAACGGGCTTCTTATTCCAGCTTAGTGTGAACCTCGCTGCACAAGGATTAAGGAAGATGCCAGATCAGTGCTTTATTTCAAAATAAACTATTTTGAAATAACCTCTGCAATTTGCGTAGCTCAAATTGTGTAGCTTATTTCAAGGCACTTGGCTCTAAGAACTGAACCTCAAGATATGCTCAAATAAAGACTGTATCAGCAAGACTCTAGATTGTGTGAACCAGACAAAGAATCATTTCCAGTTCACCAAGTAAACAGAACTGGTAGATGGTTTCCTACTATTTAAGAGCACATATTAAACCTCTTTTGAACAAGACTCTTCCTGATGATCTAAGAAATATCTAGGCTGTTTAAATGAAATTGGGGAGGAATAAGCAACTGTAGTTTTCAGAAATCAGGGCTGGGTCCAATGGAAGCAATATCCAAAAAGGAAGAAGTGTGTGGAGAACCAGTGCTGCTACGGCCAAGCTGGGATTACTAGTACGTATGGTCCTGCCTGATGGAAAACATGGGATTGGTGGGAAAGCACCCAGTTTACCTGTCCAGGAAAGTTCCATTAAGGAATTTTGATCTTGAAGGAAGCAAAAGTGCTGCCCCTTCCTGCTGGTTCTTGCTGAAAACTGACCTACTTGGAAAGTGAACCTGGCAGCATTTGGACATAGAGACCATTTGGGGTGACTAAATCTGCTTAGGTAGCCTGCTTGTTCCACACCCCTGGAAGGTAACTGTGAGATTGATCAAAGTGACAATACAAAAATCCCAGAGTTGGACTGTCTCATAGCAGAGATGTGATGATCGGGCTCCTCCCTGCCTGATGGGGCAAGACATTGCCACTATATTGTCTGTTAGAATCATAGAATGCTAGAACTGGAAAGGACCTTGAGAGATTGTCCAGTCCAGGCCCCTGCCCTCACAGCAGGACTAAACACCATCTAGATCATCACTGATAGATGTCGGTCTAACCTACTCTTAAATATCTCCAGAGATGGAGATTCCACAACCTCCCTAGGCAACTTATTCCAGTGTTTAACCACCTGACAGGAAGCTTTCCTAATGTCCAACTTAAACCTCCCTTGTTGCAATTTAAGCTCATTGATTCTTGTCCTATCCCCAGAGGTTGAGGAGAATATTTTTTCTCCCTCCTTGTAACAACTGCTCCTAGGACTCCCCAGCTTGCTGAGCAGAGCACGGGGGATGGCGGCATGGGGGAAAGAGGCTCATGACAGGGTGTCCTCTTGCCCATGTACCCAGTCGGTACACAGCAGGGATGAAGGGGACAGGGATCACGTGTGCAAGCTTTTACTTTTGATATGGAGTAAGAAAGCCTGACATCAGTCAGATATCTCTCCACCCCGTGACACCGTGTTGATTGACAGCAGTGTTCACTGTAAGGTGTGTGCTGAGGCAGCTGCTCAGGAAAGATTCAGATGCCACTTAGCTGATCAGCAGAGCATCCACAGTTAGGATTTTGTTTTTATCATGCCTCAGTGGACATGAAAAAATTTATTCCACTTATGATGGAAAAGTAAGTGGGAACACTGACTGATAGTCCCAGAGCTTTGAAAGTTGACTGGATAAAAGAGATGCTGGATAGGTAGACATATACTTGTACACCCAATATCCTGAGAAAGGCAGCTACTATTGCCATGTATTTTGTAAACATTCTGGGAGTTGCAGATAGGCCAAAGGATAACATTGTGAACTGGAAGAGAGAATAGTTCATCAAGTACTTTAAGTATTTTCTGTAGTCCTGAATAGATCACCATATGGAATTACACCTCCTATAAATCAAAGGCAGCATACCAGTCTGTGGGCACCAGGGAGGAAATATTGGAAGCAAGCATAGAAAACTTTATCTTTTTCTGTTGAGTTTCTGCAAGCCTAAAAGTGGCCTAGACTTCCCTTTGCTTTCAGGGAACTTCTATGGCTCCCAAACAAAGCAGAGACTGCAATTTCTGAAGAAGTTCCTCGAGGCTGTCTAGACTGCAGGCTTCTTTCAGAAGAAGCTTTTCTGAAAGAGATCTTCCAAAAAAAACTTCTTCCGAAAGAGCGCTGCCACATTGCCAAAGCACATTGAAAAAGCGATCTGCTTTTTCAACAGATAGCATCCACACTGAATGGATGCTCTCTCACATGAAGGCTGTAATTACTATGGGCGGAATGGCCATCAGGGCACCTGTGCTTTTTCCTCTTTCCTCTTCTATTGAAAGAACTCCCTCTTCCCTGTCCACTAGGGTTGCCAGGTGTCCGGTTTTCTACCGGACAGTCCTGTATTTGCGCCCTCTGTCCGGTAGAAAAATTCAGAAAATACCGGACACACGCAATGTTCGGTACTTTCTGAATTTCCGACCGGGTGTCGGACGGCTTCTACTAGCAACTAGAAGGAGTGCCTGCCGGGGGCGTGGCCTATTGAACTCCGGCTGTGGCCAGTGGCTGCACCCCCGCTCTGCCAGTTCTGCTTCCCGCCCCCCTTCCTCCC